CTCTCTCTCTCTCTCTCTCTCTCTCTCTCTCTCTCTCTCTCTCTCTCTCTCTCTCTCTCTCTCTCACACACATACACACACACACACACGTATGGAACAAATCTGAAATAAAATGCAGCAAATTAATCCCAGAGCCTTTTTTCAGGAGGAAAAAAGAAGCCCTTGAAGCAGGCAAAGAAGGGACCCAAAGATTTGGATGAAGTAAGTCTAATATTAGATGGATAATCAGAATAAACAGTCCCTGTTGAAGGTTCTAGCATTGCAATTCACACACACACACACACACACACACACACACACACACACACACATACACACATATGTTCTCTTTCAATTATAATTAATTAATTTTAGTTGAATATTTTCATTAAAGCAAATTAGAATCTGAGACAGAAAACAGTAAAGATATTGTTTGTATTGACAGTCTTGATAGCTCAGTTGCTACTTTCATCTCTTCTGATGCATTGCGTAAAAGTAGAAATTTGCTATTGGAACCCGGAGTCAGTGAACCGTAGAGCGTATTCAGAACAGCGGACTAACAGATATGGCCGACCCACTGGAATCTATTCAATGTCTAATCAGGAATTAAAAGGCAAGCTTAAGTTGGTCGCCATATATGATTCGGGGATCTGTTAGTCTGCTGTTCAGAAAGAGGCATTGGTGTTGAAAGTATAAGCACTTTAGAGCTTCATGCTTAGCATGATGCTACGCTAAATTCTTCTGTCCTGAATACATTTGTCAGCATAGTTACAATGAGCCATTGATAAGATGCACTGTTGCAGAATCCAGCTTTTTTTTGTTGTTATTTTAATTAAAAGTAAACCAGTTATTTTTCACTAGTGTGAGTTATTTGTGTCTATCTGTATGACTAATGTATTTCCATTTTAATAATAATTTCAGGAAGATTTGGCATTCAAACAGAAGCAAAAGGAAGAACAGAAAGCCCTGCAAGAATTAAAACAGAAAGCTGCAAAAGGGGGACCTTTAGGTTGGTTATGTGCTCATAGCTAACTGGTTAAACTCTACAAAATCTGTAGTGACTCCTTAAGTGACTGGGTCAGCACAGTCTCAATGTGGTCAGCACAGTCTCAATGTTGGGTCTAAATAGTCTGCAACCCAACTGTCCAGCCAGTTAGTGACTCAGATTTATAAGTAGAAATCTACTTAAATCAGAATTGACTAGTAGTCCTAAGATGACATCTTTAAATTACAACTGAAGTACAAATTAAAAAAAACTGAAATTTTCATTACTGCAATCAGGCAGGTAATTTCTCATCTTTTTGCTAGTCTGACACCAAATCGACGGGTCAGTTACTTTTGCCTTATAGCTAATGTAGTATAGTATAATCTGTGGAATTTCATCACTAATCATTTTTGAACCCAAGAAATGGCTGTGAAATACCAACATTTCGGTGAAGTTGGTAAATTTTGTGGTATTTTAACAATTGGTCTTTTCTTTTCTTTTGCAGCTGGTGGTGGAATAAAAAAATCTGGGAAATAACACCTTACCATTAATATTCTCACTCCGAAGATGAAGCTTCTTTTCACCAATATACAAACCTTACCAAAATATGTCTTTTAGAACTGACAGTTGTTAATCAACAAGTCATTTACTGGGACCTTCTTGAAGAGGTTGTGGAATTCACGGTGAAGTGAGAGGCATCCTTGAATGATTGATTGCTGCAATTTGGAAGCAAGGAGAATGAACACTATAAGATTCAATTCTGGTCATTTTGAGTGAAATTAAATTTTAAAAATAGATTCAAAGAATGATGTGAAACACGTTTATTCTGGATTTAGAATACAGTATTTTGAATTTTTTTTATTCCTTCTGTACTTTGTATAAAAAATATATATTCAGAAATTAATATTTTGTTTTGTTTATTTTATAACTTATTTTTGAGAGAAAGGATAAAACTTTCACCTGTGCCTGATTTTTTGGTTTGATATTTCTTTTTGTGTGTGGGTAAGTTGTTCTTGAAGTGGAGTATTCCTGTCCACTTTTGGTATTATACGAACCGTTTTCAACATGTTAAGGAAAGAACGTGTACGCCAGGTTGATAGAATGTGTTAGGTGTGACACTCCCAGTGCAGCGTTAGCGGATTGTGGTAGGTGTGACCGCACTGCGCCAGAGCTGGCATCCATGCCTTAAATAAAATCTAAACCTGCTTTTAAGAGAAAGCAGGCACTCTTAGAAATAACTTATTTGAGTAAGAAAATGCAAAGCGGCCACTCCTGGCCATTGACAAATGTGAAATGTTTGTCCATGCTCTTTGGAATCCTATTAAATCTATTTCAACAAATAAAGATAAAAGCAGATTTAAAATTAGAAAATAACGTATGATTCAAAGAACTCCCTATCTGTCTAGAAATATTTGAAGAGCTCTAAAATTATGAAAACAACCACTGATCGAAATTTATGACTAGAAATCTGGAGAAATCACTATGATAAATGACAGACTCAGGCAGGTCGATCGATTCTGATTTGCGATCGTAGCAGTCAAGCTGCTCTGCGTGAAGTGATCCTCTTTTATACACACTATTTTCGTGGAAAAGTCGTAGTGAGATAGAGGACGCTGGAGAGTCGCCTCTCTACTAATTGTATGCTTATCTTGTGTCCCGGTACTCATAGAAAGGAAGCGAGTTTCCTGAGTCCTCTGACGCTAAGCGTGAAAAAGACACACTGGCTTAGAAAATGGTAGTAAATGAAAAAGTAAACAGCTGACTTGAATTGAATGGCGATAAAAGTGATGTGTGTTGTGAAAAATTGCCTTCGAAATTCGGTTACCTGTTCACTGGCTAGCTTAAAACGTTACGATTTTAAAAATCTGATTATTCTCTTTGTGTAAGATATCACAAAATAGTTATAACGTGGATATTTTGATATTATATTAAATTGAAAATTGTTTAATATGGAAATAACATAGCAAACTATGTAATCACAGAGTAATACCGATACGTTGACGTTTAAATTTCACAGCTTTATGTTTCATATACCAAGAAATATTGATTTTATACATCTTGTAATTAACCTTGTCATTTATTCGTCGATAAGGGGTTTAAAATTATGTTAACACTTGTCGCGGCACGTAGCTATTACAGGTATTGGTCTATTATGGAAATGACTTGGTTCATTTCACTTGCTAGTTTGTGTTCAAGCATACATAGCCGGTTGTCCTCTGCCTGTATTTGCACCAGTGCAGGTTTAAAAACTGGAAAAGAAAAGAAGAAAATTAATGCTCAAAGCACGTGGTTGAAAGTTTGTTGGGTAGACAACAAACTTTCTAGTTTGTAGGTGTGTGTGGGTGGATGTTTGTGGGTGTCGCGTGTGGGCGTGTTTGAGAGCACGTGCTTGAAATGAGTAGGCGCTGAGGTCAGATTTTATTTGCATTTTATTTGCATTCGAACAATGGGAAACAGGATGTCGGCAATCCCTCCTCGAACATATATGAGAGTTCACTTAAGTGACAAGAGCCTCACGAGGTCATCTTGACATAGATCTAAAAAAAAAAGTTATTTAAATTATCATATTTCAAATATATCATCTTAGATAATGCATCCTGAAAACTTTTTGTGAACATCTTTTTTTCATTTCCCGTGGTATATTTTCATGTTCAGTATTCAATAAACTTTTAAAATGATCTTATCAAAATTCTGATTTTTTTGGAAATATAAAGTTTATTATGGTGATGTTTTTTATCATTGTTGTTTATGTACTATAAACTATTATTATTGATTCTTACCTGAGATAAATTGAAGTGGTTTTCAAGGTAAGGGCGGGAATTTTTTGGCTCGAATAACAGGGTAATCAAACCATCAAAACAGGGATTCGTCGCGTTTTCAATACTTTTCCGTCTTGCCCATCTGCCCGTTTCTGTCCAACTAGCCTGTCCTTTTTCTCGACAACTTTTTGCCATTTCTCGCTGCAAGATTTCGTTCTCTTGATAATAATGCACATTTTTATTTCATTTTACATTTATTAGATTTAGATATTTTTTTACCCTTAAACATGGCTGTTTACGTCACGAAGATCAAATCGATCTAAAGTGCTTCATTTTTAGACAAGCGTCCGCATCTTTTTCCTCAACGATAATTTCGTGTGGATGTGCAATTCCATCTGGCTTCTGCACTCACGAGATAAGTGCTTGACAGTCGATCTTCATTCAGCGCCCCACTCCCGTTTTGCAGTTCAAAAAAGGTCACATTCTTTCAACTCGACGTAAGCGCGTGCTCTTGTTCTAGTATATGCCTACCTGTACGTTTTATAGAACTCGCGTACGTGCGCTACTGAGAGGAAAAGCCAAAAATAGGCTAAAAAGCCTCATATGGGTTAAAAAACTGAATTGGATCTTTGCGGTTAAGGATGAATACGGATATTCCTATGTTGTATTTTATGTAGGCCTATAATTAGCATTATGTAAAGGCATATATATAAGAGAAATCCACTGCATTTTGCATTCTTTTTAAACCGGGCAGTGTGTGATCAGCGCAAAGAAATTCAGTGCTTTACCAGCCCCTCCCCCTCAGATATTGAGCTGTTATCAAGATCGGTCCGTGTATGGGGGGGCAAAGTGATTTCCATTTTGTCAGAAAATGAAAAAACGGCCGTTTTTCATTTTCATTTCAAGAAAACAGCGGAAATGCGATGAAAACGGGTTGGAAATTCGTTTTTTCATTCAAAATGAAAAAACGAGAAATGGTTCGATTTTCTATGATCTTAAAAATGCTTAAAAATGGAAATATGAAATAAAACATGTATTTGTATATATATTGATTTATTACTAAAATTGATTTCGTTCTAAATCATTTTTCACTACTGTGCTTCAATCTTTAATGTTGAAAAAATGAGTTAGAATTTACAACAACGTGGCAAAACGAATTTTGAATAATGGGTCGTTTTTCATTTTTCAATTTTAAAATGAAAACTGAAAAACGAGAAAACGGAAGTGCAGTCGGCTTGGTGATATATTATATATAGAGATCTGGCGGCAAATCACCACAGTCATCATGGCTACATATTCCATTACACATCCTGTGAAGGGAACCTTTAACCTTCGACTCAATGACCTAAATGTTAGGAGGTTAGCGCAGGTGTTCAGAGTAAGTAAATAAAGTTTATTCAGTAGCACATTAAAAAAAATTAATGCATAAGCTTCAATATATGCCTTATATTTTCAGTGCGACTCGCCTCCCCCCCATTTTTTCTGTTTTTTTTCTGTTATCTCTGCACATTAAAGATTTCTGATATTATTTTCAATTTATTTTCATAATCGTTTTATTAATTTATTAGCTTTTTGACTGTAAAATTTATTTTTCTTTAAATATCGGATCTACATGTACGTATGTTCATGTAGGCCTACCTTCCTTAACTGCAGATTGTTACAATTCAATGGCAGTATAGGCCTATATAGCCAGGGTTTTCCTGCATCGTACTTTCATTTGTTTTTAAAGTTTGTTCCTCTAATCTGTTCACGGAAACGTTAAAAATAACGCTATGATTAATATATATTCATGAAATAAAGGCCATAATTCCATCACTTGAAATCCTTGTTTACCAATACTAGTACTGGTAAATAAAGAGGTTTATACAATCTAACAAAATAAAAATGAATTGTTACAGACTTAAATACTTACAGGAAGTCGAGTACACCCCATGACCCCAGACGCCACGAAAACAAATTTTTAGCACACTTGTTTTAAATGAGTTTTAACTCTCTTAAAAGAGATAAAATTAAGATGGCATCATTTTATTCGCCCAAAAAATGGAATTTGTTGTTGACTTGCAATATAATAATACAATAACAGTAATACGATCACAATATGATAACACAATGATGTTTACAATATAATGCGTTAAAACACATTTTAAAAAATAAAACTTCCTATTATCTTCGCTATATTGCATCTGAAGTATGTTTCCCTTGCACTAGTAGTGTGACATTATCATCTGAAACAATCGTACGTAAGCTGTGCAGTGTCGCATTTTACCGATAAGGCTAGCGGAGAAAGGGTTGACAAATAAATCCCTCAAACACCTCGAAAATGAGGAATGTAAAAGCGAATAAATAAGACTTAAATTTTGTGAATAATAATCACCCGTGCGTCCTTTATTCTAATGTTAGTTTGTGTAGAAAATTACGCAAATATGCATTTCTTCAGTTGTCGATCAGTTTAATTATGTTGCAAAGCAAATGACATACACTTTCGGCAATTACAAAACATTTAAAACTGAATCAAATGTGTAAGAAGTTATTGAGTGCAAGTTAATTTCTTTAAGAGTCAGTAAGTGCAGATTTTGTTCTCGAAGTAAGAAAAGATGGAACGTTTCAAAGTCCGATATAGTTGGATCTGATTGGTTGATTTTTCTATCGATTTGCGCGTGTTTAACACGTGTAGAACTCATGCATACTAGAGTTGGACAAGATCCAAGATGAGTAATTTGGGAAAAATTTTAAATATTTTAAATCATAAACAAGTCTTATTAAAATTACCAAATTAGGAAATGTTGAATAGAGTTTTGTCATATGAGAATGGGAAATTTGAGAAT